GTTGATGTGGATCTGTTCTAACTTTGGTACTTTTGGCTGAGGGTTTGTCTATTTTGCTTATTCTATTGAATAACCGGCTCTTGGATTTATTAATTCTTTACGTTGTCTTTTAGTTTCAGTTTTATTAGTTTCTGCTCTGGTCTATGTTTTCCCTCCTTGTACTGGGTTTGTCTTTGGTCTCGCTCATTATTCTTGAAAAGCCATCACTACCACCTAGTTCCGGAAATGTTTTCATGACCCTAAATTGAAAAGCCTGCCCACAAGCATGGGCCAGCCACTCCCTTGGCCAGTTCTTAGCCCATGGAGAGGCATCTCTGCTTTCTCCTTCTGTATATCTCCCCACTTTGGACATTCCACCCACGTAAGCGGAGCCACACTGCACACGGCTTTGAGGTCTGGTTTCCTCCTCCTCACGTGCCGTCTTCGCTGTTACTCATGCTGTGGTCCATGTCCGGGGCTCTGACTCACAGCCAACTTCTTTCACACCAACAACTCTGCCTCCTTCTGTCTGTTCCCCTCTTTGTGGGCATGGTGCTACCCCTGCCTTCCTGCATCTGTAAACACCACTACTCTGAATGCTCCCCTGCCTGCTTTGGCTTGAGTGCTTCTCTTCAGTGACTTGGCGCACGCCCCGGGGCAAGGCTGCTGGCTGTGTTGTCCTGTCCTGTGCCCTGTTACCAGCCCGCCTCTGCAGCATGGCCATTTACCCTCCACTGCCCACGCGTGCTCAGCCTTCTCCACAGCTCCCCAGCACTTGTGAGTTTCTGTTTTAATTTACTTTCATGGCCAGTGCAGTGGGTGTGAAGCCAATTCTCCAGTAGTTTGGATTCACGTTTCTCTAACGACTACTATGGCTGTGTGTTTTCTGCTGTTTGTTGGTTCTGTGCTGATCTTTTTAAAAAAAATGTCTACTTTAGTCCTTTGCCCGTTTTTAATTTTTTATCTCTTTGTTTTTGAGATGTAAGAAGAATTCTTTCTATATTCTGAACACTAGAGGCCTCAGTCAGACAGGTGATTTATAAAGATTTTCTTTCACTCTTTATAAATATTGTCCTTTTACTCTTGGTGGACAAAAAGTCTCCATTTTTCATTACTGCACTTGTCTGCAGTACACACTAATATCGTTCATCACGGGGAGTTTTCCTGGTACATAACGCGTCTTATTCCTGTCTCCCCCTCCTTCCCTCTCCTTGTGGAAGCCCCTCCGCTCCACCCAGCTATGCTCCCTCAGTTAAAGTCCTCATACCACAGTTTCGGGTTCAGGGAGGTCCAGCTCATCCACTTCACTTCTTTGGCTGCTTTCTTTTTGCTGTCATGTTTAAGACTCCATTGACTAATCCAAGTAATGAGTATCTGCTACTATGCTTTATGTCTGAGCTTTGTATAGATTGAGGTCTTTAAGCCATTCGAATTAACTGTTGCATCTGGGTTAAGAGAGGGAATCAGTCTTTGTTCTCCAGAAGACATAGTTGCAGTTGTCATTTTTTTCCCACCCATACTGTCAAAAATCAATCAATATAGAAGTATATATTTATCAGTGCACCTAATTTCCCTTATGTTGATCCGACTTTATATGATGAGCTTTAGAGTATTTTGAAATTTGGAAATGTAAGCCTTTGAGCTTTGTTGTTATAGTTGGTTTTAAAAATTATTTTGGCTATCAGGTTGAAATGAATTTGAGAAATGAATTTTTCATTATAAAAAATAGCCATGGGAAATCATATATATGCATCCATAATGGAGTACTACTCAGTCATAAAGAAGGATAGATTACAGTTGTTTGGGGGTAAAAGGATGGATCTCGAGACCATGATGCTGCAAAATACATCCTACTCAGGAGGTTAAATATATGGTTGCTCTAATATGAGAAATATTAAATGCAAATAATTTTAGGAGCCAAATAAAAGTGAGGTAGCAGGAAACAGGGAGGTAGACTCTGTGGGGATGGGAAGGGATCTGGGGAGGAAGAAGGCCCAATATGTTACGTGTATAGGTGCCCATTGTTGAAGGCTTTGCTGAAGAGACTAAGATCTTCTTGACCAACTGAGATTTAAAGAAAGCAAGCTAGCCTGTGCTCCAGGGAGCGGTGTGCAGTTCTGCGTCCATGTCCAGTACCACGCCTTTCCCTTGGGAACCTTCCGTTCCAGTTCATCCATGCAGATCATAGGCTCGTGGCCATCACCCCAGGCACACAGAGGAGCGGCCTGTCTTAACCACTTTCCCAACAGTGGGGCAGAATATCTATCACCTGCAACTTGGAGAGGTGTCTACTGTGGCTCACCCTACCGTCCCAGGGCAGCCCCGCTCCTGTCTCCCCCTCTCTCCTCCATCCTCCCCAGCTGGTGGTGACCGCTTTCCATCTCAACTTCTATGAGGTCAACTTTCACTATCACGTGTCAATCAAAAATAACATGACATTTTCAAAAATAAAGGGAAGTTTTGCACGGTTTTTTTATAAAGAGCATGGAGACATTGCTGCATGTGAGTGGGTGGTACTAAAGAGGCAGGGCCCTTGCAGCACTTCCTTTCTGGGTCAAAATTGCCTGCTCTTGAAGAAGAGCCAAATTAATGACTGCAGTTTATCTGACCGGAAGTGAAGATGTCCTGCAATCCTTTCTTACAATGTCCTGGCCACTTGATTAATAAACGTGATTTACTTCTTACATGATTTGATTTTCATGTAATACAAGTAGACATTAAAAAAGACAATATAAAAACCACTACTTTTACTTCTATGAACCAAATTTCACACCAAAATAGCTGAGAGTAGGTAGTTAGTACACGAACGCAGCAGTGGAGAGCATCTGAGAGCACAGATGAGCTTCTGAGGAGCAGACCTGCTGCTGAGGGCATCCTGTGAGATCCAGGGTGGGGCGGGGCCCACAGTACCAGGGTGGCCCACACAGGCTCACAGCCAGAGCCAGTGATGGGAACAGGACAGAAGGAGGTCCGTCCTCTGGCCTCCTCCGGACCGTGCTTCATCAGAAGTGCCCATGTGCACAGGGGCCCGGGCTTTTCCTTTGGGAGGTGCTGGAGGTCAAACCCAAACCAGCCCAGGGGACAGCCCAGGTGTCAGTGTTATGGGAGCTGGTAGGGATGGTCACTGACACTACTACTGAGAATAAAGTAACAGAAAGGAGCAGGGTTTGACAGTGTTCAAATGACAGGAACTTACATCATCACATCAGAGAAGAATGCCAACTTTAGGATTACTAAACTATGGAAATCATGCTTTCCACCTATAGTTGAATTGAAAGGCACTGTAAGTTGTTGGTAATGATAGTGTGTCAGTCTCAGCCTGTCAACCTCCAATCTTACTAGTGTGTTGCTAAGGTCTATGCCTAATTGAACTTAATTAATCTTTACTAGACACAAAACAAGCCTAAACTGTTTGTAGAGTGCAGTGTGCCATGGACCAGCCCTCTTCGCCGACAGCATGGACCGTTGCTATGTGGTGAGAATGTTTAGAACCCTCTCTTCTGGCTATTCAGAAACACAAAACACTACCACTCTCAGTGAACTCCGTGTGCAGCGGGACACCAGACTCCTTCTCCTGGCTCCTCTGAGCACGGTGCCTGCTGGCTGGCTCCTCGCCTGTCCTACTGCTGGACACCCACCGTCTATCTCCCATATGAGATCGGCTTCTGGCTTCCACATGTGGGTGACGCCATGTGGGTCCTCCTTTGCCTGGAGTTCCCTCTGGTGTGGTGTGGCTTTCCCTGGTGACCAGTGTGTCCAGCTTCTTTCTGTGCACCTGCTGGGCACTTGATCACTTCCTGTAGCAACATCCTTTCAAGTCCTTTCTCAACTCAAAAACTGAGATTTATTGATGCATTGAGCTACGGTGTTATATGTGTTCATTTTGCATACTCTGGAAATGAGCCCTTTGTCTGAGGTACAGCTCCCAAACACTTCCTCCTGTCCCCTGAGTTGCCCCTTTGCAGCATGGTGCCCACATAGTAAGGTATGCTGTACCCACCATTTGTGAAGACGGCAGATGGCTCCTCAAGTTTACCACAGGAAAAAAAGCAAAAAAGACACAAAGAGGCTCAAGGATGGGTCTGTGTGGGCCGGACCCTGGGGACATCGGCAAGAATGTGTGGGTGTCCACACTCAGGGGGCTGCAGTATGTTCAGAACCCCTCTCGCACCTTACTGATAAAGACGGTGGGCCTCGAAAACATCTTTAGCAGTGTGTGAGGACATGTGGGCAAGGGTGGCCTCCCTGGTGCACTCTTGTAAGCCGAAGGGCACAGGCCCGAGGTCTCAGAACAGACCCCGAGGTCAGGGCCGGGAAGGTCCCAGCGCAGCAGGGGCCCCTTCGCTGTGAGGGGACAGCAGCGCGGACCCTGACTTCACCCGGGTGTTGCGCACCGTGCCCTGGGTGTGCGGTGAGCACCAAGCCTCAAAGAAAAAGACATCAAAACAACACCCCTAGGATGGCTGGGTGATGTAGGGTTCCGGTGTTTACAGCACTTTTCTTTTTCTTACTTTTACTTTCTAGACTTTTCTTTTCTGTGCATGTCACAGGTTAACAAGCAAAGCGCGCTGTGGGACAGGGCTCCGGCGGAGGGGCGTGGGCAGAGGACGCCCTCGATGATCAGGTGCAGAGCGCTCAGCTTCCCAGGCAGACTAGACCCATACTGGCCAGGCAGCGTGTCCCTGAGTGTGACACCGCCGCGCGCGGGTCCCTCGGTGTCCGCTGCGCAGGACACTGCCGGTTCGGCCGCTTCCACCCACAACTAACACAGCTAGGCTGGGAGGGGAGGGGTCAGCCCAGCCCAAAGCCCGGGAAGGGGAACGCGCTCTTCCTGCCCCTTATCGGGCGCCCAGCTTGACTGCGGCCTGGGGCTGCAGGAAGCGGGAGGCCCACGCGCTTCCTCCTCCAAACCGAGCCGAAGGGCGGACCCCGAACAGCGCCGCCCCCTCGCCTTTCCCTCATCGCCAGGAAGAGACCGCTGTGAGCTTTGATTTCACGGCCAGAGCCAGGGGAACAATTACTGTTGGTTCTGTCTTCTGAGAAGAGGCTCTGTCTGCACGTGGAAAGAACAGTGTGTCGGGAAGATCTGCCCTCCGGGGAGCAGGGCGCCCCACCGGACAGCCTCGCAGTCCTGGAAGAATCTGAGCACCGCCTGCCTCAGCCTGCTTTGCCCCACGCAGTGCAGGCTGGTGCATGCGCACTGGCTCTCAGTCCGACCCTCCAGTCCTTGCGGTCACGCCTCCCTCCTGACAGCGCCGGCTCCGTGCAGCAGGGCACAGCCACGCTCCTGTGGGTCGGAGACCATGGGCAACTCGCTCCTGCGCGCGCTCTGGTGAGTCGGGGCGGGGCCGCGCTCCTTCGGGAGTGGGACTGGGCCCGGGTCCGGGAGGGAATGGGGCGGGGTACGGGAGGGAGCGGGATGGAGTCCAGGCGTCCGGGGGACATCGGCATCGGGGCGGGTGGAGACTTTCCCCATCCGTGCTGTTACTCGCGCCGCGTGGGCAGTGAGGAGCAGGTAGAGCCGCCTCCAGCCTCAGCGCCCAGGCACCGTGTGGGTCTGCGGGCTCCGGTCTCTGCCCTCCCCTCCCCTGGTCTTCTCTGCTCTCCGCTGGGGACCCTGCGTCTCCAGCCTCACAGAGAGGGGTTCACACGCTGGGGTCGGGACCCGCGGCCCAGAGCAGAGGTGTGGAACCTGTGGCAGGTGTGCCGCAGGCTCCGGAAGTTCCCCGTCCCTGGCTCCAGCCTGGTGGGTGAATTCCCTGTGATTTACCGTCTGTGTGCAGGCTGCCTCAAGGCGTCTTGCTCTGAAGTTCACCTGCAGTAGCACTCACCTGTAAAGGCAGTCGCATCCCGCCCAGGTGAGGGCTGCAGCCTGGACTCGCTTTGACCTTCAGGGCTCTCTGGGGCAGTCCCCAGAGGGTCCCTACCCCAGCGCTCTGAGGTGATCTATCGAAGGGCCTAGTTCGTGCCCCCAGTTCCCAAGACCTCTCTAAACAGTGTGCAGCTGGAGTGGAGGAGCCCGGGGAGCACGGGACAGATGGCTTGAGTACTGGATTCGAGGACCGGAGTCTTCCCTTGTGTCCCCCTGTGTGTTTCAGAAACGTCCCTGCTTACACCCTTACTGTGTTCTGACAGTACTGAAAATTTTAAAATTTCTTATCGGGATGCCTGCAGTAGGTAACGAGTGTGCTCACCGTGGGGAGTAGGCACAAGTCCACGGGAAAATGGACTTATACAAATTAGGTCGGCAGGTAGACTGGTTTGATCCATCCTGTGGCTGCCGACTCCCGCTGCTGCGCTTGGCCAGGCCCTTCTGCTCCTGCCCCCGGCTGTGCGCTTCCAGCACACGGGAGCCGGTGGTGGCGCCGCTTTCATTTGACACTGGTCCGTGTCTGCACACATCACCCCTGTGTTCTGGGTGTGGCTGTCCCCGCAAAGCCTCCTGTGGTCATGGGCGAGTGTGCACAGCTGGACCTGCTTCATGATGCCACGAGGGTGTGAGCGCTGCACGCCCGGAGTGGTCCGGGCAAGATACAAGGGGCCGGGCATCCGGTAACCCCCTCGCTGCCTCTGCTGCCTCTGCTGCCTTGTGCGCGCCGTGTTTCTGCTCTGTGGGGCCTGTTTCCCGGCCAGCCCTGGAGCCCGCCGATTCTGGACCGGAACCTGTAGAACGAAAGCCAAACGCAGCCCTTCCCTTCACCTTCACTGGGTGCTGGGTATTTTGTCTCAGCACTGCGGGAAAGGAACTGAGAGGACCACAAGCACATTCCTGTGGGGAGCGTGCAGGGACACAGTGCACCTCCACTCCCTGCCCTTTCGGCTGTTGGCCCCTTCTCATTTGCAGAAGACCCGTCTCTGTGCTGCCTGTTACCTCTCTTACATTTTGCTCCTTATTTTGTTCACACTCTGGGTTTCCTCACAGCAGTGAAGCTTCTGTGTCTGATTTGCTTCACTTCACGTCATCATCTCAAGGTGCACCCATTTCCTTGCAGCAGGAGACGTGCGCTTAGGAGCAGGTCTGGCCCTGTCAGTGACCTAACGGGGCAGGTGGCCTCCTGCCCCTCCTCTCAGCGGAGGAGATGCCCTGGGGCTGGGTCCCAGCCAGAGCAACTGGGGCTGCCTGATCTGAGGCCACAGGGGCTGGGGGTGCAGAGGGGTGAAGAGGAGTGGCTCCTTCCCTCCGCCTGGGGTGGGGACTGCAGATGCCTCTGCCTCACCAAGTGGAGCAAACAATGAGCTAGGAGTTTTCCAGATGAGCTGATCCTTAGGGACCATTTTATGACTTTTATCCATCTTCTAATAAGGCCAAGGGAGCATTAAAGATGGAGAGGGCTGGGGATGTGGCTCCAGGGACTGCCCTGCCTAGCATTGTGGGAACAGACACGGGTGGGGGGTGGACCCCAGCAGCGGTGGTGAGGACTCCTATCCTGCTTTGCTCGCTCAGTGTTTCTGAGCAGGATCATTGTGAGAGCATGGATGTGTGTGTGTGTGTGTGTGTGTGTGTGTGTGTGTGTGCGCTCGCGCGTGCATGTGTGTGGTGCTGGGGATGGAACCTGAGCCTCACATATGCCAGGCAAGTGCTCTCCCCTGAGTTACACCCTCAGCCTTATGTTATTTTTATTTTGAGACAGGGCCTTGCCTAGTTTCAGGATCTTCCCGCCTCAGCCCCCTGAGTAGCTGGATGACAGCTGTGCACGGTACAGGGGCGTTGCAGCACCTACCTGTGTACTCTTGTCCACCGCCTGCTGCAGCTCACAGCCCACCAACCTTGAAGTGGACGTGGGCTCCACACAGGCCTCGAACACGCTTGTGTTTTCTCTCTCTTTCATTCTTTCCTTCTCTCTCTCTCCCCCTCCCTTCCCCCCACCTCTTTCTTTCCTTCTTTGCTTCCTCTGCTTCTGCAGTACTGAGGATTGAACCTAGGGCCTGTGTACCTAACTGCATGCCCAGCACTTTTTCCTCTTTACTTTTTGTGACACCTAAATCATCAGGTGGCCCAGGCAGGGCTTGAACTTGAGGTGTGGACTGTACCATCGCACCCAGCTGTATTAGAGGTTTATAGCTAAGGCCCTGTCCTCGGATTCTGGGATGAAACCCACTGCACAGTGAAGCGGGTGGAGGAACCATTGAGTGAAATCCCCGGCCCCCACTGGTCTGTGACGTGTGTTGTTTCACTGTGCTTTCAGATAGTGGCTTACATTTTATAGGTGATTATTGTGCCCATTTTCATGAGTGAATTGAGCTTGTGGTTATTGTTCTGTTCATTTAATTTTGGAATAAATCTATGTTAACTTCAGTAAGTAGCTTTGGCACCATTTTACATATTACTCCAAAGTGTCTGTGCAAACTCGTCCTGTCAGTGGTGGGGTCCACGGAAGCACCCCAAGAGGCCACGGGGACCTCAGCTTGCCGCCACCCCAGGAGTAGGCCCTTAGTTTGTCCTGGGAGGGCGTGCAACCATCTCGAGAGCAGGGGTGATTTGTTAGGCCGAGCCCGGGAGTCCACGCAGGAAGAGCACGGGGAGATGCAGTACCGTCTGGGTCGGGGCTTTGACGCAGCCTTGGTGTCCTCAGGATGCAGATCTCGGCAGCACTGTCTCCGGCCGCCTGTTGGTGGTCAGAGACTGGGAGCTGCTTACGAGCGCTGTCCCCTCAGTGTAGAGGTCGGGGGCTTTCGAAGCGTGCGCTGGACTTGATCATGTCCGTCCCCTGTTGTCTCCCTTGCACCTCCCTCCACTCCGCCTCATCCCCTTCGTCTTGTCTAATGCTGGTCTCCCTTCTTATGGCCGCTCGGAGATCCCGTGCGTTAGAGATAACATGCAGTATTTGTCTTTCTGAAGCTGGCTTCTGTGGCTCAACGTGATGATCTTCAGATCCATCCGTGTTGCTGTGAACGCCCCAATTGCCCGTGCTTTTTCAGGGCACACTAGCACTCCACGTGTCCTCTTTCCACTGAGTGACACACAGCTGGTTCCAGCGCTCAGCCTCTGTGAATTGTGGTGCAGCGAAGCCTGCTGAATGCTGCTCTAACTCCTGGTGTGAGCAGTGGTATGGCTGGGTCTTCGGCAGCTCTAGTTTTCCATCCTCTGGGACCTCCATCCAGGTTCCCACAGTGGCTGTGCTGATTTGCCTTCCCTGGTCTTTGCCTGCACGCCGTCCTCGGCGTTTATTGTCTTTGGTATTCTTCACAATGGGCTTCCTGACGGGAGGGAAGGAATCTCAGCGCCCTTCTGATTTGCACTGACCTGCCTGATGAAGGTGGGCTGCGCTTTTCATGTATGTCTTGGCTGCCTGTACTCTGCTTGGCTTGTTCCTGCTCTTAGCGGAAGTGCTTTCAGATTTTCCCCATTCAGGTTTACTGTTGGCCTTTACTGTTTTGGGAATGATCTTTAATACCTAGTTTCTTCAGGGCTTTTGCTTCTATAAAGGCAGGTTGAATCCTATCTATGGCTTTCAAAAAAGTTTTAATGTTTTGAAAAATTGGAGGAGGGGACAAAAAATTCGGAGTGGAGTACAGATCAACGCCGAGGAAAGGTCCTCCCTGGGAGATGCTCAGAGTTGGAAACTCCGCTCAGGCCGACACTGAGCACAGCGTGGGCCAGCGATAGAGGCAGTGCAGCAGGAGCGCCTTCCTCTGTGTGAATGATTCCTGCCGGGGGATGTTTGTGAGTTATTCACAGCGAGACTGAGGACGGTTCAGAGAAACGCAGTCCGGACCCTGCTGGAGAGAGCTTTGTCTGACATCAGGCGATCTCAGATCTGCTCTCCGTGCCGTGCGTCACTTGCCCTTCGCCGGTTACAGGAAGATGATAACTGAGGGCCTCATGGGAACGAGACTCACAAGCCAGGCCTCCCCGGGGCCCAGCCGACTCCTGCTCCGTGGGAATCTGTGTGCCCCAAGGCTGCTGCTCCTTCCCCGTGGGACTCCGCCTTGCTGGGACCTGTGCCTGCCCCGAAATTCGGGAAGCTTCCCTGTCTGTGCCTCTGTGCTCATCGGTATGAGGCTGAGAGAGGCCGAGGCCAGGGCTCCGCTTCCTGGGCCCCTGACATCCCGCCACTCTCTGGCGTGGGTTCTGTGTCTGGAGGGCTCCTCGGTGGTGGCCGCACGGGAAGACCTGCTGTGTCCTCGGTCTGCACGCTACAGGGCACACTGCACGACACGTGTCCACCCTCTTCTTCCCTCCCACCTCCTGCCCTCACCCCTTCCCCTTTGAGGACCATCAGGCTCCCTGCTTCCCTTTATCTGCCTTTTATTTTGCTCTTTCTTTATACCTTGGTTTTCTCAACTAAGAGAAACCATGTGGTGCTTAAGCTCGTTACCTGACTCGTTCCACACGATTATGGTCTTGGACTAATATCTACAATATGCAAAGAACTAGACAAATAAATAAGAGACTAAATGAAAGATCCAATCACATATGGTCAAGAAGATGTTAATGGTTGGGAAACGTAAGCAGGGGGGGACAATTTGCCGAGTGGTAGTAATACTTCTTTCTTCCCCTTCAGTTGCATGGGAATGAGTCCAGAGAAGAGCAGAAAAGAGAATCCAAATGTGAAAAGGACACGGTAAGAGAAACTTTTCCTCTCGGATCGACGTCCAGACTCTGGCCAGCAGCAGCTCAGCCCCACAGTAGTGCTGGACGAGCGGTGGTCGCCTCCGTGACTGGAGCAGGTGGACGGAGCCCAGCAAGGAGGGTTACACCATGGCCTGCCGTAGGCTCTTGTTATCGAGCGAGGGTAGCGCTGCAAGTCCAGAGAAGAGGACCAGTGGCCACCCCTTCAGTCTGTTCCTCCAGGAACTGTCCTTGGAAAGCTAAATCGAGCAGCCATGCCTTTTCCTTGCTTAAGACCTTTCTGTTGGTTTCCACTGCATCCAGAATAAAACCCAAGCTCTTCCCCGGCACCCACAATCCTGGGAGGATTGGTTCTTCACACCTGACCCCTCTGCTTCACCCCCACACCCTCACCAGTCACCCTCAGGCTTCCTGTTCTCATCTCAGGCTCTTCAGCCCCCACAGTCAGGGCCCCAGGACACTGGGACATGCTGCTCTTTCCCTCAGCCCCTTCCTGTGCCTGGAGAATGTTTCTCATCCTAGAGAGGCTGCCTGTGCTGCTGTGCTGGAACAGACTGGCCTGCCAGGCCTCACAGGGCCTTTACTTCCACGCCAGGGCTTTCTCCTGCTGCACCCTCCTCACATTTGCAGGGGCCTTGATCTCAGCTGCAGCTCTGTAAGTCAACCTGCAGCTCAGGGACGTGAGCTCCAGAGAGCAAACTGTGTCTGTTGCTAGGATCTATCTGATGCCCAAGCTTCCAGAACTCTCAGTGGAAAACAGAGAAGAAAGCACAAAGATAACAGATATCTGAACTTTGAATCACGCTCCTGTGGGGATGGGCAGAAGCACCACGCGGGGTTCGCTCACCGCGGCTTCCTGTCTGCAGTCGGCCTCCTTGTAACCCTTCCACCTCAGGCTCCAGTCCCCTCCCTCCCTGCCTTTCCCTCCTCTCCTCTTTTTCTTCTGTGGTGTTGGTGACTGAACCCAGAAGGGCACACTGAGCTCTAGCCCAGTCCTTTTTCTTTATGTACTTTATGTTTTGAGGCAGGGTCTGGCTAAATCACTAGTTTTCCCAGACTGGGCTAGATTTTGCACTCCTCCTGCCTCAGCCTCTCAGAGTGTTGTAAGCCCAGCAGGTCTGGGTTTCTGTCTCTGACACCACAAAGTGCTCTTCTCCAGGGCCTGGCGGGGTGCAGGGCTGAGGGGGGCGGTGTTGCCTCAGACTGAAACCCAGGAGACCTTGTCTGCACGCGAGGTTTCCCGTAGCCACCTCGCCTCTGTTCTCCTCAGGTAGAGGTCCTGGCTGCATGGACGTGTGGGAAAGTGCTGTGCTGTCCTGGGCTGTGCAGACCTAGGTGGTGCCGCTGGGAAGGGAGCAGCAAAGATTGAGGATCCTCTGCAACTCAGAGTGGGTTCTGATTTCTGTCATTTAAATTGGGCTTTTAATTTAGCATTTAAATTAGATGCTTACTTAGCCATAGACTAGGAATTGAGCCTGGAGGCACAGTTCCATGCCAACCCCTGCCTGAAGGGTGTGGGCCTCAGTTCCACCCCCAGACCACAAATAAATAAGCAAATAACCAGAAACAAGTGAGGTCTGCAGTAGCTGTTATTCTCAGATTTCTTGCTAAAGAATGGAAGTGTTCACATTTTCAGATACCAGAAAATCTTCAGGAGGAACAGACAGTGCAGAGTGAGTGGAAACCTGTACCCAGGGAGGTGTAAGCCACTCGGGGCCCTGACCCAGGGAGAGTGGTTGGTCAGGCTCACTGGAAGGTGCCTTCTGAGTGCAGACGCATTTTCTGTATCTCCTAGTTGATGTCCGGTTATTTAATTTTGGCCAGAGTATTGTTCTTTCAGTTTATAACTTCACAGGGCAGCAGCACTCTTTTAGCTCAGTAAGTGCAGGTCTGGGGCTTTGCATGCCATGAGGCTCACCCTCACGGGTGCCCGTCACGAGAGCAGAAAATGCCCCTCGTCACAGAGTAGTGGCACCCAGATGGGGACAAGGGGCAGTTTCCATATCCGGCCTCGATAACGGGTCTCAGTTCTGCTTTCCCTTTTGCCAGATGCCATGGGATGATTGTTTTATCTTCCCCGAAATCTTGTTTTCACTCTGCTCACTTTTTCTTGTTCCTCTTGTGTTTTGAATGCAGGCTCTTTTCTGTGCAGTGCTTTCTGTGCGGGGATGGGACCACTTTGGGCAGTGGCTTCCCCTCCGTGACAGGCTTTGTGTGTTCCCTGTTCTTGCCCAGGTCTGGGCTGAGAGGACGCTGCCCTGGTGGCCAGGGAGTGGGCTGTGACCCTGGCTGGCAGAGGGCACAGGGCAGGGCAGGTGGGAGGGTGGAGACCACAGATGGGCTGGAGATCCTGGCGGAGGCAGAGAAGGAAAGGTGTTGCCGCCGCGGTGGGTGGTGGTTAGGCCCCACACTGCTCTCTGGCCCTAGGAGCATAATTCTTTACGTTTTCTGTGAGTCCCCATCCACAGCCATGTCTCGGCTGTTTTCACACACACCCAGGTCCCTCTCCCTGCTTCCTATTATCTGCCCTTTATTTTGCCCTTAATTATTTGTTCGTTGTGCTTTAATGTAAGAGAAACAGTACATTCAAGCTTGCATGTCTGACTTATTTCACAGAACTATCAGGATCACAATTTTGAAATGTCCTTATTAAAGAAACTCCATTAGTCACGTTTCTGGTACTTCCCGTCCTGGTGTTTTGCTTCTGCCTGAGAGAAGTTCAGCCTCTGAACTTCTTCTGATAAGTTTCCCATTGTCTTTCGTGCTGCTCTGTCTGGCTTTGGGGCTCCAGTGCTGCGCTGCTGCACAGCCAGGTTGGTCCTCTGGCTGCCCTGGCCCACCTTGGCCCGAGGGCTGTCTGCTTGGCCTGGCTCCCCAAGGCCAGTGACTCGCAGGGTGAGGAGCCGTGCGCAGTCAGGCCCAGCGCCCACACTGCACCCCTGAGTTTCCCTGGTGTTAGATTCAGCAACAGGGACCCCTGCTCCAGTGCGGGGCCCGGGTCGTGACGAGCAGGGCAGAGCTCCCACTGGGCCTCCTCTCCTCCCCATTCCGGCTCCTCTTTGGGTCTGTGTCCCTCACTGCTCCTAAGACCCCTGCCAAGCCCCATCTCCCTGCACAGGTGCCCTGAGGTCCTGGGAGGAAGACTTCATTCTTACTGAATGTCAAGGGTGCACAATGTAGTCCAAAATGCAGGCCAGGAAATCCCAGGGAGACTTCTGGGAATTCCGGAAATGCTGCCGCTGCCTAGAGGTGACTGTCCCAGGTGCCCTCGGAGTGAGCAGGTCAGGGCCCGCGGCAGCAGTTCCTGGCCTTCGCACTCCTCCGCCTGCTTTCCTGGGTTTTCCTGCCCTGCCCAGGAACAGGAGTGGGGAAATGGCCTTGCTCCTCCGCCCTTGGAGGAGAGCCATCCAAGGCTTCCCCGAAACCCATTTTCAGATTCAGTGAACCGAGGCATCTCACGCTACAGTCTGTCTCTTTTTTTGTAGGCCGGAAATGTCCACATCTGAAGAACTTCAAGGTCCAGATAAGAAAAGTAAGTCCTCACTTCCCAAGATTCTCCACACGCGGCAGAGTGAGTTTGAAGTCCACATTGCCGGTCGCTGTCCTGACAGGGCTGTAAGGGAGTGGTTGTCATTGTCCCGTACAGCCGATCAGGTGACTTTTGTATTACAGTAATACTTTGTACGATTTAGTCTGCGCAGCATTAATACATTTATGGGGAACAAATGAACCGCACGCCTGCTGGCTGTGCTGCTGTATGAAGGGCCACTCTGAGCATCAGCTGATGGTTTTTAGCTGAAGGTTTCTGCCCTTTTGCGCAAGCGTTCCCCTTCCGCCACGGCACCAGGGCAGTCATACCACAGTTACTCCAAACGGGCAAGAAAGGTGACGACGCTCGTTCCCTGAGCGGGGTCTTACCTTCTCCCTAGTACTCGGAAGTAGAGTCAGCAAACGCAGATCACACACGAGCCAATTCCATAGGCTGCGGAACAGGCTTAGGTCACCGAGCAGCGCGGAATGACCCACTTGGAAACAAGCGTAGCGCCCCGCAGGGCACCGGCAGGCGACGCTGTGATCTGAGCTGCGCGGGCGCCGATGTGGTCACCCTGCACTTCTTGCCGCGGACCACATCCACAGTGTCAAGTGCTCCCCAGTGCCTCTCGTCGCTGCTCTGTCTCTGACTTTGTCAGCTCTTCTCACCATTTCCTCCTGGACGTCTCTCCCTGCCGTGGTCGGCAGTGCCCTTGCCCTGCAGTTTCTGGTTTCTGGCTGCCGGCCCTGCTCCCCAGCATTGCTCTCCCGGGGTCCAATCCAAGGCCAGGTGCTCGTTGGTGACCCGTCCTAAGGCTTGGAAGGTTCGGTGAGATCGAACCTTCTTCCGATCTTCAGTAGAAGGTCGGGGGCGGGGGCCGTCCAGCGGGATGGCATTTGTCGTGAAGAACATTTTTTATGTACACGGGAAACACTTTTGTAGCTGTGGACTATTCCTAATCTCCCTTTCATTTTCTCAACTTTACATTCATTGATACATTTCTCCTCCAATTAAAGTATGAAATCTCTAGGCTCAAAGGGTTCATCATATCTTCTTTTTTTAACGTATGGTACTGGGGATCAAACCCCAGAGTTTTTAGTTGCTATTTTGAGGATTTTGATAAATTGCTCAACTCATCCTCAAACTGGTGATCCTCCTGCCTCAGCCTTCCTGTAGCTTGGGTTACAGGTGTGTGATGGCAGGTCCGGCCTTTTTTCTGTATTGAACTATGCAGGGTTTTCCAGGACGCCTTCTCCTTTCTCACACTCTTTCCATGAGCCTGGGTGCACACGTGTTTCCCGTTACTGCTTCGTTGGTCACTCGTCAATGGGATGACGGTGATGGAGCCCTGAGGTGCCCTAGCCATGCGGGGCTGGAGACCCCACGTGTAACAGAATCGCTTCAGTCACTGAAGGGACCTCGGATGCAACAACCGACGCAGCGCCGGTGGCCACCTAGTGGACTCTGAGCGTCGTAACCCGAGCACCCCTTATCCGGCTAACAAAGGAAAGACGAGGGTGCAACCAAAACCATCTCCTTGAGTGTCGACTAAATAATTTCCTGAGTTGTGCAGGACGCTTGCTGCTTTTCTTTAGTGAGTTCCCATTTCCTTCGGGCCTCGCCAGCCTCCTGCAGCAGAACCAGTGCTGTTCCGTCCTCAGCTGCTCTGGGCATCTCTGTGTCCTGTGAAGTCCACAGTGTCTGTGGGGACCTCTGTAGCCCAGAACGAGACAGACAGGAAGTGGCCTGAGAGCAGGCTGAGACCGGAGCAGACGTTTTCTGGGCGGTCTGCTTGTCCTGGCTCAGTCCTGACCCACACATTAGCCGTGCCTGCTCCCTGCTCTCTGTTCTGTGCTCTGGGAGCTTCCTGGATGGAAGCTTCCTCTGTCCTTGGGGGTCTTTGGAGCCATGACCTAGGTGACCTCTTCCTCCGGGTGCCACAGGTAAATGTCAGGGGGCCTTTGCTGGGAGTGTCGTGGGTCACTCGGGTACTGTGTTAAATGTTAATGGCATCTTCTCGACCTCTGCACCAATGGGGCAGTGACCAAGTGCAGCCCTCTCGTCCGTGGGATTTATTCCCTTAAACCATTCCCAGCACCAGCTTGTGGCTTAGTCATAATGTGTTGAGTTGCAGAAGAGCGGTCACAGTGCTAATGCCTTACAAATCATAATAGGTTTTTCAGCTGATCTTACAAAGCTCAATTTGCATTTTGGAAAACTAATTCAAGGACTTGGCGAAGGTTTTCTTCGCCATTTTAGCAGGTTGTTCTAGCGTGTTCCCATTAATGCTCTATGCTCCTGCATGTTGAGATGATTTCTACTTTTGCATGTAAGAAATTCAAGTGCAGTAGGCAGAAAAAAGGCACCGACAGATATCTGGGTCAGGTTCGTACCTGGTGTCTGTGGATTTGGCGCATTCACTGACCCCAGGGACTTTACAGACTCGATGGAGGTAGTTGAGGGTCTTCTGGAGGGGAGATTGGCCAGATTTGCCAGGTGAGCAACAGAGGTGACCACGGTCCTTAAGAGGTGACAGGGGACAAAGAAGGGGAAATATCAGAGCGATGCTCCCGGGGAGTCCCAGGCTGCTGGTGTTGCAGGTGGATCTGGGGCTGGTGGAAGCTCTGGGTGCTGGGGCGCCAAGCCCAGGGGACTGGGGGAGATCTGTACAGACCCTTTAGTTCTCACTCAGTCTTGGGCTGGGTCCAGGAACCTCGTTAGTACAAGGAGGAAGCAGAAGGGTTTCATGGACTTCCATGGACATGCAGGTGTTCAGGGCAGCCCCAGCCACACTGTGAGGCTCCGCAGCGCACAGAGGTCTGGGGCAGGGGCGGGGCTCTGAGGTTGTCAGTCTGCATGGGAGCAGCAGCCTCCCATGAGAGCCTCGACCAGAGCCTCCTGCACGGAGGAGGAAGAGTCAGGAGAGCAGCTCTGCATCTTCAGGAGCGGATTTCAGCTTTGGACTTGCTTCTACCAGGGTTGCCATTTCCCCAGGGCAGGACGCAGGCCGCCCTTGAACACTGCTTCGCAGCTCTTATCTCCAGAGTTGTAGACAGATACATTTACATTTAAGCCACTGGTCTTGTGCTGTAGTGACAGAGAATCCAGTGACAACAGTGACAGCTGGGATGTCTCCTGCAGGCCACTCCTGAGTGTTCTGGCACACTTCCAGTGCTCTTAGCCCCATTAACTGCGACCTGCAGCCCTGATTCCAGGGACGCAGGGTCAGGGAGATGTCGTCCTGGGACATGGATGTGTCTCCCTGGTGCCCAGGGCCCTCTGGACCCCTCAGTAGTGAGTCCAGCTGCATAGTTTGCACTGCTGTCCCTTGGTCTCTCAGATGGTAATTACTGAACAGGGTGGAGATTCGCTGTCTGCTCCAGAATTTCTGGAGCCAACTTTGCTTCTCCTGCTGGTCTCTGCAGACCCATGGCTTCTGGTTAGGCACCTTTCCTGGCTTCTCTTTGACATGTGACTTCCTGAGGGTTCAGGTGGGAAGCTCAGCCTCCAGGGCCAGAAGGGGGCTGGGCTGAGGGGGGACATGTCAGAAATGGGGTTAGGGAACTGACATCCCCTGTGCTATTCCGCTTGATTCCAGGACGCCCATTCTGGGTACAGTGTCTTCCTCTTTCCAGACAAGACTTCTACTCAAGGTGTGCTCTCAGCTGGCTTAGTGTGGTCATGGCATGTTCCCAAACTTAACATGATTGTTCTAAATCTTAACTACATCAGCCCAAAGCAGAACACCCTTTCCCTATAGTCTGTAATTTTTTCCTGCCCTTCACACTGACACCTGGCTTTCTGAATCCTTTTTGCCAATGCTATACTTTCACTGTATTCTGGTGACATTACTTCCTTATTTTGTGATAAGTGCAGAAATTGAAGTGCACTTATGTGATAAAAACATTCCTTATGGCTACACTTATAAAGATATGTAATTATATAGACATATGTAGCATTCTATTTTTGGAAATCAGCCTATTGAACATGATTTTTCATTTTTGAGGAATAGTTAACTATTAAAAATTCTTTGCCTGGGGATTTAGCTCAGTGGCACCACACCTGCCTAGCAAGCTCAAGGTCCTGAGGTCGATCCCTGGTATGGGGGGTTCCTGGCTTAGTTTTGCAGAATCTAATTAACTTGAGTCATATAGTCTACGAATTGCTAAAGATCAGCGTCACACATGCCAGGTTTAGGTTTCAGGGTCAGGCACTTCCGTCTTTTAAGCAGGGGTGGTGGTCACGTTCAGTACCCCGGGACTCCCCCAACTCTAGTCTGTCTGTTTGACAAAGTGTTAGCAGTGGACCTCAGATTGTTTCTCACGCAAATGGCTGCAGGGCTCACAGCTGGAGCCACCCTGTACCTGCGTGTTTGTGTTAGGGACATGATCTTGTTAGTTTTGTTCCTGTTCTATAATGATTGTCCATCTTTCAGAATCACGTAATTTCCCTGGAGCAGTTTTATAGAATTCCACCGCTCTGATAACACTTGACAGGTGGCTCACTCCCTGTCTCAGTCTGCGTGGACGGGGTTTTATCACCGATGCCAGAGCCTGCGCGGTGCCCGTCTTTTCTCACCCCGGGCTCTGTGAGGCAGGGCAGCAGCTCCCCGTGGTTCTGTCGGTCACTGTCCCCCATGCCCTACCCAACCCACAGCCGGAAAGTCTCACGTTCTCTTCCTTTTATTTTTTATCCTCCAGGTAAAGAATTTCCATCCTCTTCTTATCAGGTAACTGAAAGTCAACAAAATAAAGCAAAGTGGAAACGCAATTACCCTGCTTTACATTTTTCTGAGGAATGTCAGGATACGAATGATTTTATTTAAGACGAACTTCTTCTGTCTTCCTATACTTGGGATTTCTAAATGCGCTTTGAGAATTCCTTCATATTTTAAGGAATTTATTTGGTATTCTAATGCAAAAATGAAAGGGAATAAAAATTTTAAAGTATTTCAGTGACCTAGATTATTAGAAGGTTATTGCTGCTGTGGTCCCAGTTCTCCTGATGTGTGTTATTTAACTTTCGAAGTTTTATGACAAAAACAGGCAAAATCAAATAAAACTACCATTAAGTCCGAACACCCAAAATTCAAGTCCTGAGCTTTGCACATTGCCTGCCAATTCATATGCCTAGAATTAGCATTCACATCTACAAACAGGATAGAAATCGGTACCACATGGAAGCCCCTTTTCTTTGTGAAACTCCCTCATGAGCGTCTCGTGGATTGACTTATTATACATGGGTTTCATTATTTTTTTGCTTCACTATTTATGTGAAGTTGAAAAGGTGCTAAACTCTAAATGTTACTTCGAGTAGGGCTGGGGATGTAGCTCAGTGTTGCTCCGCTTGCCTCGCAAGTGTGAGGTCCCGAGTTAGAGCCTAGGTCCAAAAATAAAAAAAAAAAAAAAAAAT